TGTTGGTGCAGTGCACAACACAACAAAGCTGTACTTCTTTGAGGTGTTCACCAAATGACTTCAGAATGAGTGACTTCAGCATAGGAGGGTTAATACACATTCCAAATACAAGTGCAAGGAACTACATTAACCAGTCCTCAAGAAAGCATTTTCAAAACATCTGTATAGAGTTGTTGTCAAACATTTGGAAACACTTGTCAAATATCAGCACAAAATGGTGGAACTGATGATTTTAGTCACTTGGGGATGGCATCATTTTTGGACAAATCTTCAGATCAAGGTTAGACATACTAACCAAATTGGGATATACAGCTAAATGCCACAAATACTGATTCGCTAGATTCAGTTGTACAGCAATAGAGGTTTTTCACGCAACGCAACATGATGGGCAAAGGCATTTCAGAGAGCGTGTCACGTCTGTGGAGGCACGTGCATTTTCGAATCTGTGTATTTCTATTGGAAACTCGTGTACACTGTACACCAGAATGTTGAGAAACTTCAATTGCGCGCATTTCCACGCACATCTGTGTAAAGTGAACGCCGACCAGCAAAAATCACGTGACTGAAAATCCTCCATTTGTGAGACATTCCTCACCATAAAGGGCACAGTTTTCAACACTCTAGAATGCACCCACTAAGTGATATTTGCTAACACAACGGGCCAGGCACAGCAACCAAGTTTAAGTTCAACACAACGGCTGCCTCCACAGACTTCTTGGAATTTGTGTGTGTGTGTATGCAAGATTTATGGGAGACTACTGTGTTTAAACATCAGCTGGTGGTGAGTGGGGCAACGCTTGATGTTTTCAACCCCTCAGCCAAGCTTGAGCAAAAAAATATTCAAATTGTGTCGACATGTCCAGTCCAAAGTGGTTGAAGACCATGTCTCCTTGACAAACAGAAATGTTGTAAAAAAATATATCAGGCCATTTCTGACCTCAATTATCCTGGATTCCAGCTGCTCCACTTCTCCGACGTGGTCCGATCCCTTGACGGTGGCCGTCATCTTCTTCTTCTTGATGCTGCCCATCTTGGCCAGGGCATTCTGGTGGTCCTTGACCAGCCCTTTCTCCAGCCGATCCCCTAAGTCCTGCAAGGGGAAGTCGCAGATCAGAGACACGGCTGTTTGTCAGTAAAGCTAGCCGGCTGGAGCATGCAGGCAATTAATGTCTCGAGTCAATTCTGGGCAGCAGCGTTTGTCTTTTCTCCCAATATGTAACACAGACCTCCTTCCCTCACTGTCTGGCTTTTCTTGCAATATCTAATATTAAGTCTCACCCTTACATTTACAAATAGGTCATTGGGGAGACATTTTATGGTAAATTTTCCAGCATTAGGGAGACATTGGCTTTTAGGGGGACATTTCAGTGTCTCCCTATTTTCAAACTACCAGAAGGAGGCCGAATTTTACCATCCAAATTTTGAGAGATGATAGATTAGGGTCTAAAATGAAAACATACAAAGTTTGGCTCACATCAGATCAGGGAACATTGAATTATGGGCCAGTAAAGTTGGAAAAATTTTGTGCACGTTCTTATGGGAATGTCTCCCTAATGACCCATTAGCGGTAATTAGTATTTTCATTTTTATCTCAGTGCATTGTCATAGGTTTTCTTTCATTGTATTGGCTTGGTTTATTATATGATTACACTGTCCTCATGGACCACCTGAGTTTTCAATTCATGTGGACAGGAACTGTTCAGTTACCACCCCTAGTATCTTTTTTCCCCTCCTTTTGCAGTAACAGTTACTGACAATCAACTACTCCTTCCACTCGATTTGCCACAGAACACAGACACACGGGGGGGCCATTTGACCATTTGTGACTGAGCGTTCAATTTTGACAAGAATGCATCTTTGCACGAGAGGGTGAAGGTCTTTGGTCATCTAGCTCCAGTCCCATGGTATCTGCGAGGGGATAAAAAACAAACAACGGGGGGATACCGGTAACTAAATACCAGAGCTCACCTTGTAAGCTTGCAGAAGGTCCAGTATCAGGGCTATCCTCTCTGCCACATTGTTATCTTCTCTCTTTCCCTGTGGGTAACATTTGAGGGAAAAGGGGAAGACGTTAAACAAATGCACATCAATGCTGAAAAACATGAAAGGGCTGCCGATACATTGATGTTGCAATGGTACGTGACACAGAGAGCAAAAAAGTGCACTGTATCTTAAACCTAACTCCCAAGGGTATGTATATAGAATCACATTGATGTTGGAGGATTCAGGACTTATCATGAAACTGTGTGGATCTGGGCTGCCTAGAGCAACGTTATGAAATGTTGAGGTGCTCTTCTCTGTCCGTCCAGCCACCACTTTTCTTTATACTGTAATCTCGCGCTTTGACCTGTGGACCCTGCACGTCCCCAACTTTACCTGGACAGACACCCAGGGTCTTTGAGAACGGCTTACATCATGTTTCCAGTCAGAAACGGCTGAAGACATAACCCAAGGGGCACCAAAAAAAACCATGAAGCCGGAAAGTAATGGGTGTTTGCATGTCACTCATATTCTGTCTACGTACGGTAGATCTCAGTGTATGTTGTCCTTCGGATAAGCCAATCTATAACTGTAAATGGGGACCTCTACTTGAAAAGCTGTTTTTGTGAAGGCCCCTTTGTCCACACGTAATAACGACAAGTACATTCATCCTTGGAAACAGACAAGTACATGGTTAAGTATCACTTATCATTTCGTACACTGGAGAAAAGGGAACAATCCCATCCATTCCCTGTGAATATTAATTTCAAACTTGAGCACTTTCTGAGCATCATTCAAAGGCAAATCATCTGGCAAACTTTTGAAGGCATTACTTGAAACTTCTTCCTGGATACTGAGGTGTAAATGAGTAGTGAAGTAAAACTGGCCTCTACATGATGTGGGCACGACAAAAGAAATGTTCTGTGCAAATCCTAACATGAATGCGGCTATCATGAACTTCATCTTGGTCCAAGTCTAAGGCCCACAAGTCTGTACATGTTGATGTTTACTCTAGAACAAAGGAAAAGTCTTCTTAAGTATGCAATATCATCTGGTGGAGGCCATATCATAGTACAAAGGCAAATTATCTGGCAAACTTTATTGAAAGAATCACTCGAAAGAAATTTTTTTTCTCAGACAGTTCTTCCTAGACACTGATGGGCGCAAACAAGTGGTGAAGTGTGATTCGCTCCCAAATTAAGTGGACCTGAAAGACTTGTTGCACGCAAACCCTGACATGAAATGTGGCTATCATGAACTTCATCTGGGTACAAACCTAAGTCCCACAAGTCTGAACATGTTGATGTTTAGATCCAATGTTTACTCTAGAACAAAGGAAACTCTTCAGCATACAACATCATCTGGTGGAAGCTAATACCAAAACTGGTGTAAACAAAGCTTAAGCGATGTCAGCAGTGTTTATCTTGAGAATCATAAAAACTGCATTTATAATGTAATTTACATCAACTGAAGTGGTACGACTTTGCCAGTTGGCCCTTTTGAAAACCCAAATAAGACTAACTGCTGAAGTCCACAGGCTGGCCCAAAACATGTCTGTGCATGTTGTGTATTTCAAAACAATGGCACTGACGCAGCGATAATGCTCGCTTTAACGACCATTCTGGTTTTCAAGATGTATTTTTGCATTGGGGCAATGTTGATTTCTGTAACAGGTTTTGCCCTTACCCAATGTATATTAATAAGCACTGTATGCTCAGTGCTTGTCCGAGAGCTTGCCAAAAAAAACTCACAAGCTTACTGGTTAAGACATCTGCACTAGTAAGCAGGATGTCGTGGGTTCGAGTCCCACCCGAGTAAGCTTGTGAGGTTTTTTTGCAAGCTCTCGGACAAGCACTGAGCATACAGTGCTTATTAATATACGCTGGGTAAGGGCAAAACTTGTTATATAAATTACCATTCTGGTATTTACAGAATAGGTTAAAGCCACAGTATTTGACTGCCTTTCAGCCCGAAAGTAGAGATTTCGCTGTGTGGAGCAAGTTCACCATCGATATCATCAAGGAAGTGTGTTTATAACCACTCACAGGTAGGCAAATCACCTGTTATTTGGACCAGGTACCGTAAACTGAACGATTACATGCACTTATAGACTGGTGTTGTGAAAAAGCGCAGATCACTCTCTTGAATGTTCCAAAACATTGGATTTCCGCTGGACTTTTGATTGACTCAGTATTGTCTATATTTTTGTTGTGAATGTTTAAGTATGCTTTTCACTTTCCAACCACGTTGTGCAGACAGAAATGGCAGGAAACCGTTGGGAGATGCAGTGTGAATTTGGCGACAGGGACGGTGAGCCATTCAAGGATGGGGGAGCCAAGGGCATTACTGCAATTTCACCCGGCAAAATTGCCATGACAGACATAAACAAGAGACGCGTGGTAATATGCAGCACAGATGGACAACAACTGGACAGTTATGAATTACAGGAACGTAAGTGTCACGCTGTGCTTGTTTCTTACAGATTTTTTTAACCCTAACTCTAACGGGTATTTTGGCAAGGGACCCCGTCGGCAGCATCAGTCTGCATCACTAGGATGTTACCTGCCCAGTGTAGCAACTACCAACATGTCAACTATGGCCTGCTAATCTGTGGTAGCCAGCCACCACAGGATCCAACAGTAGCAGTGTGCAATGGGACGAGCTCCCACTGTCTCAACACTGGTAGCCTTTTAGGCATTATTGTTGATTACCTAATGTATCAAAGCCCACAAGACTTTTATGCGCACACCTGCTGCACTTTGCTAAGTCTGACGGGGTTAGGGATAATATGCACTTGTCTACACACTTCTCTCAGAAAGATGTCTTCGTACTTCATGTAACCATGAGGTACCTGTTGCATTTGAGGGCAATTTTCAGTTTCCATTTGCGTGGCCTTCTTCCCACAAGGTCCACACGGCATTGCAGCTATCCCCAATCAGGATAACTGGTTGGTGGTTGTTGATGACTCTAAGTACGTCAAGATGTTCAAGAGCAACCAGTTAGCCTTCGAGTTCCCCACAGTGCCACCTTGTGAGGTCGACCAGAATGATGTCCAGCTCCGCAGCGTGGCAGTGGACAAGAATGGCGTCATCGTAGTGGGTGACATTGAACGAGAGGTTCTGACTGAGCACAGTCCCCATAATGGCGAACTCTTGCAAACTGTTAAACTTCCATGCCAGGCCAAGCCGTATTTCCTCGCCGTGGACGACAGCAATCGCAGGTTTGCGGTCAGCAACCATTTGGGGCGACGACTCTTCATCACCAACAGACAGGGATTGCTGCAGCATGAGGTTACACCAACCGTCAGAGGTCAGCAGGGTCGGCAGCTGGCCAGCTGCGGGGTGTGCTGTGACAGCTCAGGCATCTACCTTTCCGTGTGCGTGCGGGATAGCGATGGGCCTGGACGCGACACAGGCCACCTTCACCACTACCGCGCCAATGGTTGGTTCCAGAGTTGCCTCACCAACACCTTGCGATTCCCAAAGGGGATAGCACTCACGGGGAATGGGCAGCTAGCAGTGGCCAGCGAATGTTGGGTGCAAATATATCGTCAAATTGTTTAATTGATGAAGCATGGATGCTTCGAAAAAGACTATCACCAGAAACATTGACAGTGCATCTTCATTTCTGTTTTGCTGTGAAGGCAAAATAAAAGCCTACACACACAACATCTACGCACACATCTACAAATAAACAACTGAAAACAAGAAAACCAGTTATGAAATTAATCTAGTCACGTTAATCTAGTGTACTTACTTCTTTCACAAAAGACACAAGTACTTGTCTGATTTTGCAGCTTGTAAATTTGCATTTTGAAGGTGATCTCTTGCTGTGCCTAAAATTATGCGTATTACATTCTTTCATTCATTTATAATCATATCTACCAAATCATATATATTTTACCAAAGACACCTGTATTTGTCTGATTTGCAGCTTGTAAATTTGCATTTTGAAGGTGATCTCTGCTATTGCTAAAACTATAAGTATTACATTCTTTCATTCATTTATAATCACAAATAATTATGTATATCCTTTGTCACTTAAACAGGTTTGCAACAGCCTATGCATGTGTTGAAAAATAAACTCATTTCGGTTGGAATGGAAGCCACCAGCGTCTGGTTCAAACTAAGTTTGACCTGCTATTTAAAATGAAAGATTTATGTTGAGAAAATGTAACTGGCTCAAATCCGATATCCAAAACTGTGCAGTTCATTTTGTGTGAAACACTTCCAAAAGCCAGATGACATGCAACGGTGACTGGGCTGTCCATTTCTGTCCAAGAATATGGCCATGTCCGTGTCACATGTGCTTGACAGCAGCTTTAAAATGAATCAAGTCTCAGGCTGTGGCTGCAGGCACTTCCCATACAGTTGTGTATAATTTTCAAGCTGCAGCCAAGTAATTTGGACACAGTCTTGGGGCTCAACAAGGTGAAAAGTCCAGGATCGGGGACTAGAATATTGCCTAGATCTCCACGATACTTTGGCAATGTGTGGTCTGCAACTATGTATTGAAAAGAATCCAAAGTGAGAACAACTGAAGTGTACCAAGGTTTCCACATTCCACAGTTTGTCTCTGGTCAGATTGACGTTTCGGAATTGACACAGCAACAAGGCTTTTTTTTTAATTCTTTCCTCCTCCAGGGTTGGATTGTACAGACAGTTGTAGACACATGTTGTCGAGTCATGGGACTAGACCAGTGTTACTATGATAATTAGCTGACAACAAACAACTTTGATAGCCTGCTATCGTTGTTCAACATTGATCTGGTCAGGATCTATTGCCCTGAGTAACAGATTGAGCTGCCTCTCAAACAGTTGAGGCAGTGTGGCAATAGAGGGTGCTGTCACAGCTCTCGCAGGAAAAACGATTGCTGCGCATGCTTGAAATCGATGCGATCACTGACCAGAGACGAAAGACTTTTTGGGGGGCCTTATGGCAGTTTCAATGAATTTGAGGTTCTGGATGGAACAAACAGGATTCAAAAACTGCCCAATTCTGTGATACTTCAGCTAAATGCAGTTTGCAACTGTAATAAAAAATCCCACCAGAACACTTGAAACGTAAATTTCCAGATCACGGCAGTTCGAATTACTATACTTCAAATCAAGTTTGAGGCACCAGGAGGAACAGAACTCCACCGGCAACAACATTTAAAAAAGTGGAGTCGGAGATGATGAAAACCACGTTGATAAATCTTGAATGAAATAAAGGGCTATCTGTGAAAACAATTTTCGCTTTATTTTTGTGCATATTACAATTGGTAGAAATGCACAAATTTCCTGGTAGCTGGGATGAAAATGACTGTTGATTGTCATCCTATTTTTTTTCCCAGGAAAACTGCTTTTCAAACCTTCTGTTCAATTTGAGTACAAAATACATGTACGCAAGCAGTTTAAAATATGTACACTCAGAAAAAAAAGAAAAGGAGACATTTCACTTATCTGTAACAAAGTCTATACATGTACACATGCGTGTATTTGGTATCTCTCAAGTACTTGGAAGCTAGAATCAACTTTGTTACTAGAGGCCTGTAATGAATCGGTCCTAAATGCTGCCACCATGAGATCAGAGTTCATATGGCGATCAAGAGTCAAGATTACTTGAGCAACACGGCCACTGAAGATTCAGAGAAGACCACATCTGAACAGCACTTGCACGTGCCCTGTCTGCAGGAGAGTGGGGTGTGTGGCATTTACCTTGTGCAAAGTCCCAGTTCCACTTTGAGTAGAAGGTAAAACATGTGCAAACTTTTTCTGGATGGGGGGCACGTGTTCTTGTAACAGATTTTGGATTTGGAAATACGGTTGTTCCACTCAATAGACTGAGTCATTAAATCCCATCCCATGGATTTTCGACTGGGTCCACATGTGGAGACAGACGATGTGTTGAACTTAAATTTGATTGCTGTAATCGGGTCTGCTTTGTCAAAAGAAAACTGATTTATATAACGGGTTTTGCCCTTACCCAACGTATATATTGATAAACACTGTATGCTCAGTGCTTGCCCAAGAGCTTGCGAAAAATTCACAAGCTTACTCAGGTGGGACTCGAACGCACGACCTCCTGCTTACTAGTGCAGAAGTCTTAACCACTCGACCACCGAGCTTGCCATGGTCGGCTGGCCGGTCCGAGTCAGGTGTAGCAGCGTTATATAAATTAACATCTCCCCAACGCAAAATACATCTTGGAAAAAGAAAACTTCTCTATGACAGGGCCTCAAAGTCTCACCAAATGTTAAAAAAAATTGTACAAATATTGTACAGTTAACTTTCCAGCGTCAACACTAGTAGTAGAGGTGCTCGGCTGTATTGGAAAAGTTTGTGGGTGTATATACAAATCTCCTTCACAGATTGATTGGGTTTGCCGCCGAATCTACACAAGTGGGTAGAATCCAAATTTGCCTCACCTGCACGCTGTGCTTGTCGGCCAATGCAGCAAACTCCACCGAGATAGCCTTCAGGCCCGTCTTGATCTTGGGCCAGGACTCGTTGACCCCCATGGCCCAGGTGGAGGCCACCTGGCTCTCGCTGCCCATCATGTTCAGCTCCTTGGCCATCAGCAGCATATCGCTGGCGCTGGCTGACAGTTGCACGGACGCAGTCAGAGGAAAGAGATTGCAAATCAGAAAATGGAAACAAGGTATTTTCCCCAATGAGAATATTCAAGCTACCTTTTGAGTTCGACTTCACAGTCAGATAAATGTTCTCATTATTGTTAAACATTTCTGGTAATGAAACCAAACAAGGCTTCCTTAAAACACCCTAGGCATCGAAGCTTGCAAGCCTGGGGAAAATTTGTAGAGAGAAGCAATTACGGATTTAGAGGTGGGAGGAAAAACCCAAAAGAATATTCTGGGTTAAATCCACAGAATCAGGTAGGGAGTGAAAGCCCAATCCACATGTGGACCCAGCCAGGATTCGAACCTCGGCCGCAGAGGTGCAAGGCGAGGAAAGGAACACTACAGCAACCTGACTCCTCTCTCTTGGGGATAAAAAGAACCATGAGCTACCCATCAAAGTACGTCAGTCTCCTCCGAATCTCTCCGGAGGTTTTTCTCACCTGCGGAACGGAGGGCCATCTGGTCCACGATGTGCTTCAGCTGGTAGATGCTGGCAAAGAGGCGCTTGACGTGCTCCCGGGCGTTGCTGTACTGCATCTGCGTGTCCATGGGCACCAGCTCCTTGGCCGAGAGGGCCAGCGGGCTGGTCACGTACTCGTCTGGGGTGCCGCGGAACTGCTCCTTGATCCTGTGCTGCATGTCCTGGTTTGGAGACGCCATGGAAAAGAAGGAACATTTTGGTAACATTTGTAGAGTATTATTAAATCACGTCGACAGCGAAACACTGATGCTGCTCTGAGTACAGATAACGTTGAATTTGTGTGCGTGTCTGTGAAGAATTCCAAATCATGTACTTTAAAAGCAATGTGCAATAGCAAATAACACACAAGCGCTCTTTTTTTCCTGGTAGAATTACAACTGTTATCTTAAATACGTCATGCAGACTGGACACAAGTCACTGTTTTCTTAAATGTCTTGATGTTGTCAGTTTGTCGCTTGGCACATTTATCCATCACTCAGGTCTGGAAAAAGGTCACTAAACAAAAAGTGGAAAATTTATGTGATGAAATGACACCTTACACCAACACACCCACGATGAGATTGACAACAAATGTGAAAGCTGCTTTTAGTTTTTGTTGTGGAGTATAAAAATGGTCAGGTGAGTGCAACGTGAAAGAAGTTTTCTAAACATATGTAAACATTTAAAGAGTCTGTTTAATAAAGGAACTTTATTGAACTTTCCAATGCTTTGTCCACCCCGAAATCACCCTTTTTTAGGGTTGGGGTTAAGACTGATAATTCTCATTTCAACCTTTTCTAACACCGAACTCAATAAAAGCTGCATACTCACTGTTCCTTGAAAGGTTAGAAAATACCTGATGACATCGCTACTGTGGAACACGGGATGTCTGACAACCAGCGTCAGGAATCGTAAAAGGGCCCTCCGCCGACCCTCAATGAACTCGCGGTTGGCTGGGGGAAAAAATCGTGCAGGTGAAAAATAAAAACGGCCGCTGAATTGAGAAAGCAAGCTCTGCTTGAGCCTTCCCTGGTTACTTAAGCCATGTAACGTGCTCCAGGTCCTAGGCTCCCTCTTTGCGATTACTGATTTGTAAATGCTACTTGCTCATACAGCCTTGATGACATACTGTTACTGCGACTTGACATGCGAAACCGTCTCGCACAAAATGAACTGGTTATTGGATTGGAAGGAGGGACGGTATAAGCGACCTTGGATCACGTCTGCTGAATGTCCATTGGAAAGCTGTTCTAGGAGAAACAGACACTGCTGTACAGTATCTATAATTCTGTGTGAATCAACATGGGTCTAATGCAGCTGTGAACTTAGCACACTATTTATGAAGTTCATCACCATGAAAGCATGGCTTAAAACCCCCAAGGGTTGCTGGCCCCAACCTTCCCCATTCACACAAAGTTAAACACCCATATGGGACTTTGTGCACAGAGGCCGTTGGACTTTGTTTTTCTGAGGTATGCCAAGCCAGCTGTTATGGGCCTACCAGACCTATCCCAACAGAATTAAACACTTTACTACTGTTTAATTCTGTGTGGTTGGGGAAGGTTAGGATTAAGCGCTACTACGAGTGCATTATTTCATATGCACATTTTTCACATGCAGATTTAAAGCACAGATGCTGTTCTTAAATCTGGAATACTGTCTATATAATTATGCATACTTGTAATCGTCCTGAAGGCTGAATCTGTAAAACATCCAACCCAATGCTGGATTGCTTGTACTTCAAGCAGTATTGCGCTATCACTTCTCTACATTATCTGTAACCACCTAGGCTTTTGTACAAGAACTAACATATTCAACAGATACAACTTTTCTCTACACGAGGTCACTTTAATCACTGACAAGAGACTAGAGAGAATCTGTTAGAGTGAAGCTGCAAAAAGTTTTTCTCAGCACAGTTTTTCTGCAATTTTATACCATTCTTTAATGCATGACAACTCTTCTATTTGGTTAAATGTATTGAAAAGGGCACTTTTAGAACCTTTAAATTATCCACGCTTTCCTGGACAACTGAAGGCGCTGTTGCTGTGATGTCATCCAGAGAAGACATACTTCAGTGCCTAGGTTTTTCTGTTCAAATTGTGAACCAAGAATTTACTTACTGCAAACATTTCTGAGAAAGGGATTGATGCTTGCTTATTGCCATGCATATAAAACAACAATAAATAAGTAAAGAAGAGACAATTCAGTCCAGCAAAATCTACAAAAATGCAGGACTTTTCAAGTGTAAACCAATGTAACATTGAGGCTTTAATCCTGAGATGACATTGCAGTTTTGCCCGAGAATATGGAAATACTAATTAGCATAAAAACCAAAAAGGCGGTAAAATACCCTCTACAATAGTGAAACGAAAGTTGAAAATAACGTTGTCTGAGACACAAGGGTGTGTTGCTAGGATACGTTTCAAACAAATTGATTGCAGCTCCCCTTTAAACTCCAACAGGTCAGCAGTGTTGCAGTTTGAGTCATTTGGTAAGGATGGGTCTCTGCAGTATTCAGGTGACTAGAAGAATAGTTTTACCAATAATCCAATCAAAATCAAGCAAAGTCCAACACATGGTGTCAGTTGCCAGTCACTCCACGGGACAACCGCTCGGTCCCCACCCAAACAAAATCTAACAACATTACCTAGGCGTTTGTTCCTCAATCCGATGAAGATGGATCATAACGTTCATAACGTATGGTAATCAAATCAGCCGAAACTTGACAAAAACTACCGTCGATGTTTGAGAGACTTGGGGTCGTTAGGGTTAAGAAAATGACCCGATTTGTTGGCACGGATTTCATCCAAGGGCGGTGCTTTAAGAAAACCAGATTTTCAACAAATCCAATCTCAAATCCACACTCTGTGGCCTGTCTGAAAGACTGGACCCCGTGTCTTACCTCCAAGCATTTTCTTGGGCGGTAGTCTAGGCACCATTCTGTAGGGGTAGCGGGATATGAGCATGTCGTACAAGGCATCAAAGTCGCTGTACCGCCGCATCACCGACGACTTGAAAAACTGTAGAGACCACAGGCATGTTGCAATATAACGGGGGAGGGAAATATTTTCAATATTCATACACTGTTCACTAAAAATGGAAAATATCAGAGTCAAAGTCTTCAATTCCAAGAACAAGTGACATTGTAGGCATAAGAAAGGTAATGCAAAATGTTTCATTTGACACATCATGACGGAGTGACGGTCAGTTCTGATCGCACTGTATTTAAATGACATTTCTATCTGTAATTTATGTTGCAGAAACCAAACGTTGCCATGAATGTAACATACAGGAATACAGCCATGAGAACGGTGTGTTTGTACGAATAAGGAACACTTCACTTCACACATCTCCGGGACATTGTATGTCGAGGCTAGGCACATACTCTCGCTCAAGAATTCTATACAAGTAAATGGATTTTGTGAAGCAATTTGAAAGTTTAACTCACAGGATGGTTAATGTGACTTTAATGTGACTCCACACCCCCAATTAACCTTTTTCAGTCCCATCCAGATTGTTCTAGAACCTTTTTACAAGTATTTAATTTAAATGTTACCATTTTACAACATCTTCCAACTTGTTTCTAAAAGTCATCCAATTTGTGAAGTTATTTCAGGAATTGATTCTTCTAAATACTGTCCGATTTTTCAGACATTGCCAAAAACATGGCAATTTTGGGTTTAACCCTTTCGCGCCGGGAGGCGGCTAGAAACACCGTAAAAATTGAGATCCTGAGCCCGCTTTTCAGCTATTATTCTCAGCCCACGCTCGAGCGAACACGGTGAAAGACGGCAGACCCTGGCTCTTATATATATAGTAATTGGTCTTTGTGTGTAGCCCAGAAATGAAAAGACCGAATTTGCATCATAACCACCAGCTTCACAATAGTCCCCACTTTGAAAAGAGGCAACGGGAATGTGGAAGGGTGAGTAGAGCCGCATGCCACCGTACAATCAGCCTTTTCACCGTGTAATTCAAAGCGTGCACAGCACGCAGGGCCACAAACTGAGAATTTGCGGTTTGGCAGGTGGCCTTCGTGGCCAAGCGAGGCTGGAATTCTTGGAGTTGGTTTTCGGAAAGAAATTCCCGTCGTCAAGGGGTTAACCCCTTCGCTACTATGCAACTACCGCACCATGGTGTGAGGATTAGTGCATACCACGCATACAGTCTATTCACCATGCAGCTGCTGGTTCAATGGGGCCTGCTGCTGGACAAAGCCCTCCATTCAGGGCATACCACAGCCAAGCAGTGAAGGGGTTAAATTCCTAACATTTTCTAAAAGTGGGATCCTTGGAAATACATAAATGCCTTGCTTTGTCCCCACATGATAAGTCTGGTGCCCAACCCCATGGCTCACCTCACTTTTGACTTCATACTCGACATGCTTTAAGAGTAGTCCCTTCTTCTCCGGCACCAGGTCGATGGTGACTGAGTCCAGGGCCACCAGGTCTTTGTACGTGTAACTGAGGACATTGGGATTCTTCTCTCGTCGGACCTGAGCACTGAGTGTCCTCAGATCAGACAAGTCACCCAAGTGAGGCTTTGGCAGCTCTGACAGAAGGTAAAAATATCTTGCAGTCCGTGAAAACGCTCGCAAAGGAACACAAAATTCAAAGTCAAAGTGATCGCGTAGGTGCCTCTTTGAAGGATCCATGCAAGGAATTTTTCTTACATGCACTCGTCAAAGAAAGCGAAATACAGGACCACAAAATATGAAAACTTCTACCTTTTATTTTTGAGCACAAATCAATAAGAAATGCTTTTGGTTGTGAAGAAGCGCAACTGAATGTGAACGACAAGGCCACTTGGCCTAGATATTTTTGTTAAAGCTACAAAAGGTGGTGGGGAGAAATATGGTGGAAACTGGGTCATTCCATTAAGTTGGGGTCCAAGTTTTTTGGCATCCTTGTCACATCTGACAAAGAACTTTGGAAGTTTGGAACAAAGTGATTACATAATTCAAAATACCTGCCGGACAAATAAATGCAGCTTAAAGTTAATTTGAATCATATTTCCACGTTGACTTCCACAGGTCAGGTGTAAACAGGGACACCAAAAGTGACCAAACGGCTTACCCTCTTTGCCATAGTTCTCCAGCATCTTTTCACTGACTGGCTTGCCTTGCTGTGCTAAGGCTGTGAGAGCCAGGGCTTTGTACAAACCGCTACGCGTCAGGTACCCTTGTTTGTTGTCGGCTGCTTCCCATATCTACATAAAACAGGCACGTTGAAAAAAAAAACCAACGATGAATCTAGCTGAACGGGGACCAGTAGAAATAAAGAACGTATATTGTGAAGCAACGATGCACAACACACTCGCACAGCCCTATATTCAAACCTGCAACAGCTTTATATTCAGACTCAAATGTATATCCGTTTTGCAAATAAATAAATGAGATTTATTTTATCAACAATTTGCTTTGCACAGAAAAGTTACACAGAAAAGATAAAAAAAAGTTTCAAGCAACCACCGAAAAATATATGTACAAAAAAATGAAAGACTGAAAGACTACGGGACATGATTGCAAATAAAGCATGCAATTACAGCAATGTAAATACCTGGACATGAAACGGTTTGATGCTCTGTGGCAGTTTTTACTTTTTCTTTCAGTGGCGAGATTCGGCCATGTTTATGACTCATTGCTAAAAGTATTGAAATTTCTCTCACAGTTTTGATGCATTAAAAACAATGCAACTGCCTGTGTTGTGGCTCTTTTGCTTGCTCCGCGGAGTCATAATTAGGGCTGTGCCAAATATCTGAATAACCGAATATTCGATCGATTGTTAAATATTCCAATATTATTTTTTGAATTTGAATATTCGAATGGAAAATTCATGAAAAGGAATAAAAATTATCTTTTGCTTTAAATGAGAAAAACTACACTACGGAGGCTCGTTTCAAGCAGACTGAAAGGAAAGCATTAGGAATCTTACAACGATTTAAAAAGTAAATTATTCAATAAACAATTTAAAAGGAATAGAAATTTTCAACACGGCAAGAAGTCTTGTTGATCTCTTCAATCTTGCTAAATCGTGGCTGGAGGAGATGCTCCTAGATGTGAGAAGCTATTTTATACAATTGTGTGTGTTACTGCAACTGATTTCGTATATGGTTTGTTCATCAACAATCTGCCCCACCCCTAACATGGCAACCTTTTTACAGCAACTCAAGGTCTATAAAGACGTAGGGCAGCTCGACACAGGTTGTCACGGTTGGGCCCGGGGGAGTGGCCGCGGCTAATTATTTAAATCGGTGCACCCTGATCTGGCCCTGCTGGATCATGACGCCCATGATGACACCCTAGGGGGTAAGCTTGACCAAAAACACTTTGATAATTATGTTCTCAGTCTCACCGTGCTCAGAGTTTGTTTGGGTAGACTGGACTTCACGAGTATCTTGATGAACACATCCTGGTCGACTTTCCCGTCTGCAGGGTTGGGGCAGACGATGTCGTACACCTCGCGGTAAAACGACGGCACCGTACCTACACCAAAGGAATAAAATGCTGCAGTGAAAAAGACCGCTCCAACCTAGCAACATGCACACTTCATTCACCGAAACACTTTCCGCAAATGTGGGAAACTTAGGTCAAATTACTAATTAGTTCCTCTCTTACCGTAGGCCAAGTCATCCGCCATGTTGCCTCCCCTTTCCGCTGGTTCGCTCTCGTCACATGTCCTATTAAATTACAAGGACCTTAGCCAGGCTGAGCGGCTCACGAGACTCGCGTACCTGCCTGCCGCGCCGATATCGGCGCCTGGCTGGACAGCATTTTTTAGCTGGTATCCGCACACGTCAGCACGACTGATCATGTTTTTTTCATGACCAACTAGGGGTCAAAAGTTTTTTCGCTAAAAAAATGGGGCGTTAATTAACCCTAACAGTCCTGAATCCTCCAATTTTAATATAATTTTGCACATATCCTAGGGAGTTAGGGTTAATAAGTAAAGTGAGGTGTTACAACAGATATATTTGCACCATTTTCAATTATCATACGAAGCAAAGGAATAGCTAGGAAAGTAGAATCCACTTTCACACCATTGTCCAAAAGATGAGACAAATGACGAAAACGTTTTATAGGCATTAAAAAGTTTCCCCTTTTGATGTGGTGTGGGTGTCTTCAGATCTAATAGCAATTGGTAAACGAAGAAAAATTATGAATTTAAAAATAAACAAAAAGCACAAATCTGAGGGGGAACAATAATTTTGCGACAATTTAAATAATCAAGTGCGCATTGCAAGGTCAGGTGGATACAGTTAATGAAGGTTTGATGAGGGGCGGGGCTGGAACTTGTCAAATTGTGCAATGCAAACTATTGAAGTAGCAAAAAGATCCACACAAATAAACCTGCATAAAAGTCAAATGCTGTTCTTTTATTCCCAAGGTGTTCAGAGATAAGCGTCCGTGTTCAGAAATTGACATCTGCTTAGGATTTGTCTTCAGTTTGACATAACTGAGTATAAAAAAACAGGCTACAGCCAAACTTTTCCCTGGTATTTTGTTGGAATAAATGGGATGTATTTGTACAATTTTTGAGACCAGTGACTGGTACTTTGCAAACGATGCTGGCTCCGGTCCTAGAGTGGAAATATGAAAGTCTTGTCCTTTCCCTACATGCTCACCACTCCCTTTTAAAAATGACATCTTTATCTTATACCATCGATTGTTTTTTGCTGTCTCTTCTGTCTCAAACACTCACATTTTCTGAAAAATGTACAAAACTTGCTGAAAAACATCAGATAATAAAACATTGCTGAGTACCAAAATACCATTTTTATAAAAATTTTATTATGGTCATTGTAAAGATATTGTATCCTACCAAGAAATATTTCATTGACCAAAAACCTGTAAAAAGTTTCAGCATGATTCCTGAGAAAGATGTCCCCTTTGGGGAACTGTCCAGGTACCATCCAAAAATTGTCATCCGTCTGGACAGCAGATTTTAGATTTTCCACTTTAAAAAATGTTGTGCACCTTTAGTTGAAAAAGATTGTGCACAGTTAGTTGATAATGGTTGTGCACATTTAGTTCACAGTGACTGCGTGATGTATAACCCATACCCAGTTATTAAAGGTTGTGCAGTTAGGTGAAAACGGTTCTGCATATTTAGTTGATGATGACTGTGCACATTCAGTGGAAAACTGCTTGTGTGTAAAGTGTGCCATGTAAGCTGGTATGATGTATGCCATGCTGCTGGAACTTGATTGAGCCAAATGGCGCCCCCTACAGTTCTTGCACAGAGCCAATAAGCTGGTCAAGCTGTCTCCATTTCACTGGTACTCTCCATACTGTCCCCAACCACAGAAGGGTAGAGTCGCCCTCCATGACACAACAGACCATACAGAGTTCTGTAAAGAGGCACAAAGTTGCTGTCTGATGGATCCAGGTCCACCAAGATGGGCAATATCTCCTCTCCAATCAGCTGTAACAAACAAAAAAACAGGTTAGCACAAAATTTTATAAGAGAAAGTCCGAAGGACTATTTTATCAACAAAAAGGTAACGATTTGCATTACTTGTCACCCATAATTTTTTTTCTTTAAATATTCGGGGAAAACTGTCTTGTGAAGTGTTTCAATTGAACAGAATTAGCCTTTTAGAAGCTTGGCAGACACAATAGGAAGGTGCTATTTGAAGTGGGTAAATTTGAAGCAAACCCAACAGATTTTACCCAAACCAAATAGCGCCCTCCTGTTGAGCCACCCACGCTTCTAAAAAGCTAATGGTGGATGAATGGAATAACAGAGCTTTCATTGGCAGACGTATACCTTTTCTAGCTGGATCTGAAGAGTCAACCTCTGTACATCATGCTGTAGCGTTGCAAACCTCTGGAGCTCCTTCAAGTTGTTGTACTCAAAGCATCTCTGGCCACGGCTCGTACCGTCCAAGTGCGTTAAGCAACCTAACAAAAGTGAGTGTCAGGGTGACGTGCATGTAAGTAGAGCATCAAATGAAAGAAGTCTAGTCAGATTAATGATGCAGGACCTCCTGTGTCTTCTACACCTACGACCCATGTTCACATCCAACCAGGTGCATCTTGTGGATTTCAACTGCTGATTTTGTGGGCTAGTATCTCTGAGGATTTCTTCTCCAAACATAAACCAAAACAGATTAACAACAGCGTTTCTTTAGGTTCACAGGCTTCAAAGCTTTTCAGCCTTTTCATCCAACATTTTGCTGATGACCCTTAACCCTAACCATGCTCAACCCAACAATATCCAACAGCGAGACCTTCCTGTTTGATGTTGTTGATGTGAGCAGGGAACAAAAGGCCTTTTGTTCTAGTTGATGGATGTCGTTGGATTCAGCAGGGCAGTAGCACAGTTAGGGTAGGGGATTAGGGCTAACAAATGTCTTATCAAATTTCAATGTGTAAGGCAATTGGCTGTGATGGTTTCTGTTTAAATGAAAGAACCAATCACAGCAAGGGTAACGTATACGGCTGCCCACTTTCAAAACTCAGCATGCATGGCAAAACTCAGTATGCAGTGTACAGCGACCACTCTGCAGGAGAGTGGGCATCTCCGTCAACTTAGTAGGCAGGTAGCTGGTATCTCCTGCTTTTGCAGACTTCATTACTGCGAGTCTCTGTCGAGTGGGTTCAGAAAGGTGACGTTTCGAATGACTGACAAAGCATACCGTGGAAATCTCCATGTTGAACGGGAAGGAAGAATGCGGTTGAAGGTGGATGGCAAACGTTCTGATGCACAGCACCACCGGATGAGTCAAGCTGGCTTGCTGGAGGCAGCGCCGGATGGTCCTTGCTGAGAAATCGCTTCTCGCCTGAAATTGGATGGCAAGATGTAAGACCTCATGCCTGTTTTGGAGCACTTTTACCGGTGCTCTCATCAAGCGTGATCTCCCTGCAAGCACACCGGGTGGTATACTGCAAGCACTCGCCAGTTTCTCATTATTCTTTCGATCGAGTAATTGTCCCCTTTTTGAATATGGATTCAATTGATCGAACAGCCGATTTGCTTGTCCGATCATTCTAATGCAAAAATGTTGCCTTAGTGTTGGGCTATTCTCTTTTACCATCTGAAAAGGAGTCTTTTTCCATTATCAAACAATTCAAACAAGGAAAAAAATAACTGAGTAATCAATAAGTTGATCAGTTAACCAAGTAACCAAAAGCACTTGCAGGCCAAATGCTGTGTGACCTTTTACACTACAGCCAATGAGGGACACATGCGCACTGACTGACAGTTCAGAAAAATACTTTGGATGACCCAAAAAGACAATATTGAAATTGACTGCATCTACTAATCAATGTTTCCGCCCAAACGGCATCTGGACTTCTTTTGAACACCTGGTGGGCAATACTGGATGCCTTGTTTTGTTACATAAATGCAAGTAAAAGAATAAAATCTCAGGAAGCTGAACACCTTTTCTTCACTTTAAGGCGAGTGCAAGCGCCTAGTTTGCAAATGCTGGATGAACTATTAGACTGCTGAACAAATAAGATTCATACCTTCAGCGACATTTTCAAAGTCTGCTTTTATCGTGTCCAATTTTGCCCTTAGGGCTTTTGTTAGGACTAGCAGCCTACATCGGCTATCCCATGATGCTTTCCCTGCATAGCAAAAAGAATACAAATATAAACCCGGAAAACTGATGAAAAAACTGTTTGAAAAAAAAAAAAAAACAGTTAAATAAGATGCAAAAATTCCAAATCTCCTAAATCCCATCAAATCTTTGAAAAGTTGGAAGTTTGATTGTTACAATGAAATGGTTTCAGCATTTACCGTGCCCCGGAAACTCTGTCAAGGCCGACTTGGCAACATGTATCAGATGTCTGCAGTCTCTCGTTACGTCCTGCACATCTCGGAGTGACAGTGACTGGGACGATTGCTGAAACTGAACAGAAGCTTGAGAGTTGAAGTCCTTTTACTCGTACAATGCATAGGATTAAGTCAGGCCTTGCGCCCGATGGTGCAAACGGCGTCGGGGGTCAGAGGCTATGGTTTGGAGGGTGGGTGGAAAGTTTGGATGGGTAGGGGGCGGAGGGCTGCGGACTCCTTAATGTAGAAAATGGGATAGTGAGGGTAATACACATTGCAACAACTGGCATGTCTTGATCTTGTCTATTCATGAATTTTTGTGTGCCATTGTAAACAATTTTGCATTTGGTCGGTTCACATTACTGACTTGGAGAAATTCTTGATGAGGTGGTTGAATTTCTTGGTGATAAGAACTGGTGAAAAATCTTGAATTCTTTGAAATTAGCCCCCAAGCATGATTCTTGATTCACACCTTTGACTCCAGTCGATGCCGAAAGTGCTGGGAATGTGATGACTGCTCATTTGGCGTCATCTCTGACGACAGTCGCTGTTTGAGCCGAGCTATGTCCGACTGCAGCTTCCTCAGTCGGCTTGGCACCCTGAGGTCATGTCTGGAGACACACATTTTTGTCAACAAGAAATAAAGCATTATCTCTGTCGTGTGTTTGATTACACTCTGAACAATGTAGTGAACATTTTTGCCTCAATAAATAATATCAGGAACTATTAATTTGGAAGGTAAAAATCATGCAAACGATTTGACCCCCAACTAAAAAAAACCAGAGCTGTAATGATGACAAGGCGCATCTTGATTTGTGTTAATTTTTGGTTTTAGGGTTGAATGTTGGTCCCAAATTATAATAACCAGGTTTTTATTCAAAGAAAGTATCCGGTTTTTGTATCACCCAAAAATACACAGCACTATTTTGTTCAATTCGGCTTACCCATCCCTCTTTAGCAAGAATGGCCTTGGGCAATCCTCTTGGATCTGCGCTTCTCGATCTCCCCTCCCAGATGAGGTTGCTCGATCTGAAGACATCTCCTTCAGATTCAGGTCAGCCGTTTCCTGGACGAGACTCCCCACTTCAGTTACTGACGTCTCTTGTTTATCCCCCACGGTATCAGGCTTTTTGGACACACCCACAAAATTCTGATTTTTACCTTTTCTGGCTTCAGGTGAATTTAAACTTGGTTCTTCTCTGTTCATTCCAACTGTAGATCTTTTGTTCTTTGTGACATATCTGGGTTTTCCAACTTTTTCCAACTTTACTACTTTTTCATTTCCTGCACTGGTTGGATTCTTAGTTCTGTTCACTGTTTGAGTAAGTTTCGTTTTGTCAGTAGGCTCTTTCTTGCCGCTGACAAGTTGTGGGTTTGTTAACTTGTTGCCCAAAGTGTTAGCCTTGGGTTTGGCTGCGACGTTTCGGCCGATTTCCGAGGAGGTGGTCGTGAAGCGAGACTTGGCTGAGGATTTGGGGCGGGGGACCTTGGCCCCGTAGGCAGCTCGGGCCTGGGCCGTGCCCGGCCGTGGCTTAGGAGGCAGGTTTGCATCGTCCTTACTGGAAATCCGCGGCTTTGTGTCAGCAAACAGCTTCTGCAAGGTCGAGCGGGAAATGACGGCAAACTCTTGTCCGTCAATGACCTGGCTTGCTGGCTTGGGTGGTAGGTCCACCCCAGTCCTTTGATCACCAGCTGATGCCTCTATAACTTCCTCTTGATGCAGCTCCTCCATGGGGTTGAGCTACTGACCAAACACAACAGCCAAAATTTTACAATGCCCTTCAAAAATTATTTGTGCCACTCTACTTTGCAACGACCATTTTCAACAACTGGATATACTCACCCTTCTTTGCAGCTCTCGGGCCCTCTGGGCCTTGACCAATGCCCGCTCCACCTCAGCCAGAGTCTCTGCCTCTGCTGATGCAGCATCACCACGGTTACCAACATCACCATCTGCTCCCGGAGGGATGCTGGATCTGGACAGCTTTGCTTTGGGAGGCCAGGGTTTGTGGAGGAGTGGGCGCAAGTCTTGACTGACTCTCTCACAGAGGTCTCTGCTAGTTTCCACACACAGGCTCACATCGTGAATAAACTGCTCAATCCTACAGCGGTGGTTGCGACAACGAAAATTATTTTCCTGATTAGCCATTGTGCAGTTGGTGATTGGTCACATCATCAAAAACTTTATTACCACTTTGCTGAATGCC